TTCTTTACATTGCGGTGCAACCTACACTGAAGGCTATGGTCTTTGATCTTCATCGGTAAGTCTTTTAAATCCTTTTCACTTCCAGCAAACAAAGTTGTATCATCTGCATATATTGTAGGTTGGTAATGAGTCTTCCTCCAATCCTGATTCCATGTTTTTCTTCATATAACCCAGCTTCTCGGATTATTTGCTCAACATACAGATTGAAACAATACAACATTGCCACACACCTTTCATGATTTTAAACCATTCATTGTGCCCTTGATCTGTTCAAATGACTACCTCTTGTCTGTGTACAGATTCCTGTTAAGTACAATTAAGTTCTTCGCCACAAGGTTGTCCATAGCTTGGCATGAACACACAATTGAAAGTCTTTGCATAGTTAATAAAGCACAAGTAAATATCTTTTTGGTATTCTTTCCTTTTGGCCAAGATCCATCTAACATCAGCAATGCTATCCCTTGCACCATATCTTTGTCTGAATCCAGCTTGACCTTCTGCCAAGTTCCCTGTTAATACACTGTTGCAGTCGTTTTGGATTATCTTTAGGAAAATTTCATTTGCATGTCATGTTAATGAGACTGTCCTATGATATCTGCATTCCATTGGGTCACCTCTCTTTTGAATGGGCACAAATGTGGCTCTCTTCCAATCAGTTGACCAAGTAAACTATCTTTTAATTTCTTGACATACATGAATGAGTATCTCCAGTGCTGCATCGGTTTTGAAAGATTTCAGTTTGTGTTCCATTGATTCCTGGAATCTTGTTCTTTGCTGATGTCTTCAGAGCATCTTGGACTTCTTACCTCAGTAGTATTTTGTCTTGATCATATGCTACATCTTGAAATGGTTGACATCATCCATTTCTTTTTGATACAGTGAGTGTCTTCCTTCCATCTTTTGATGCTTCCAGCATCATTCAGTATTTTGCCCTAGAATCCTTCAATAGTTCAACTCAAGGCTTACATTTTTTCATTTCTTTTAGGTTGACAAATGCAAAGCATGCTCTTCCCTTTTGGTGTTCTAACTCCAGGTCTTTGCACATTTCATTATAGTAATTGATTTTGTCTTTTTGAACCTCCTTTTGAAATTTTTTGTTCAGCTCTTTTACCTCCTTATTTTTTCCAAGTTTCAGAGTCTCTTCTGACATCCATTTTGGTTGTTTCCTTTCTTTCTTGTTTTTTAATGGCCTTTTCCTTTCTTCCTGTATGATGTTCTTGATGTCATCCCACAATTCTTCTGGTCTTTGGTCATTAGTGTCTAATGCATCAAATCTGTTCTTGAGATGACCTCTAAATTCAGATGGGATATGTTCAAGGTCATAGTTTGGCTTTTGTGAACTTGTTTTGATTTTCTTTAGCTTCAGCCTGAACTTGTATGTGAGCAATTGATGGTCTGTTCCACAGTCTGCCTCTGCCCTTGTTTTGGCTGATGATACAGAGCTTTTTCCACTGCCTCTTCCCACAGATGTAGTCAGTTTTATTTCTGTGTATTTCATCTGGTGAGGCTCATATGTGTAGTCATCTTTTATGT